GAGTGCTAGGCTGAGGAGCTGGCCCCCTGCAGAGTCACTTTTTAGAAAGGTCATTCTGGAAGTCAATGTACAAGGTAACAGGAGGGCCCGGGGAGTGAGTGTAGAGGCTTGTGATGAGCCAGGTGAGACGTGATGAGCTCGAATCTTGACCAGTAGCTCAGTGAAATCTCAATGTTGGGAGAACCCTGAGCAGGGAGAGAGCATGCGGATCTTTCCTTCTCGGCCACACTTCAAGAGCCGAGTCACCAGACTGGCCTGGAGCTCAACTGAGGCTCCCAAGACCCAGTGATGGGAGAGCCCAGGGCAAGTCCAGCTTCAGCAGCTCCTGTCCCTGCTCTGGGGGGTCTGCCTTCTGGTATATTGGAAGGAGAGTTCCCAATTCTTTCTTTCCCAGGGCCCCGTCTGTCTGAATCACTCTCCCAGCAATCACCCAATGCACCCCCCTGGGTGCAGGCAGACTCTTCTGTTTCAGAAGTTTGCTGATGGTGCCTCTGTTCGCGCTACACATGTTGCTTCTCTTGCTCTTGGGGAACTCGCAGTTTGCTGGAAGGGGATTGGAAAGAGGAGTTATAAAATCATGCAGGAAACCATTAGCAGAACTTGAACTTATCTTCTTGGAGGAGGTGATGTGGCCTAGACTCCCAGGGCTGTGTGAGTTTGGGACAGGTGGGATGAATGGGGCCTGGGCTTGGGGTGAGCCATGAAGGTCCTGCCTCCCTGTCCTTCACCTTTTCTGTGTAGACCATCCTGTTTGCAGAAGATCCCAGCAGCTCCTGTGCTTGAAACCAGCTCCAGTTGAGGCAAGGCTGTTGGGCCCAGGGCCCCGGGAGGCTCCAGGCTAAGTGGGGTCTCATTTAGGCAGCAGCTGAGCCAGCCGCGCAGTTGGTTAATCGCCCTCGTCCTGGGAGCCCACTAATCAGGAAGCCGGGTTCACAGTTGGCTCCTCCCTCGCTGGCGGCTTCTAGGAAGATGGAGCTAGGGCCCTGTCTGTCTGAATCACTCTCCCAGCAATCACCCAACACACCCCCCTGGGTGCAGGCAGACTCTCCTGTTTCAGAAGTTTGCTGATGCTAGGCTGGGCAGGCAAGGCCAGCTTCCTGCTGTGTGGGCCCACACTTACCTTGTCAGACAGCAGGTCCGCTCTTGCCTGGGTCAGTGGCCTCACCAGCCCTCGGAATCCTTGGATGCCTGGTGCAGGCTCTGCTGCAGGAGAGACAAAGCCTGAGGGAAACACCAGTTGGTCCCCAAGCCTCTGGATGCGCCTCCTAGCACCCCTTGCAAACACCTCCTTCTCTGCTCCCATCCTCCCCGCCTCTTAGTCCTGACTTGTTGCAGCCTTCCTCTGCCTTCATGCCTCTCCACTCTGGGAAGCACCACCCAGGCTGCCCCAGCCGTCCCAGGAAGACCCTACTCTTGAAAACCCCCACCCATGGGGGGCGGAGTGAGGTCGTGGAAAGAGCCCTTGCCAGAATTGGGCTAAGGGGCCAGAGCTAAATGTTGGGTGAGTGATTTTATCCTGCTGAGCCTCAGTGTCCTTCTCTGCTAAGGTGACTTTTCCACACAGATGTGGAATCTCAATGGTGTCACGTGTGGCAGGCCAGAAAGCACCTGTGTGCTCAGATTCAGCGTTCATAAGTGATGCAGCCAAGGCCACACACTTGGTCAGCTCTGAGGAGTCCCCAGAGCACGGCTCCGACCCCCTCTCCTGGTGTTTTCCCTCTACTTACCATGGAAATCCTATGCACTAGCGTTTTGATGATACCCACCTCTGGGCCCCTTCTCTCTTGGGTCCCCTGGCTTCTTCCTGCCTATGCACTCTGTGTCCCCAGCTCCTATAGCCTTGTCTACCAGGCATCCTTGCCTCATCTAGCCAGGCTAAAAGCCAGGCTTACTTTCTAGTAATGAAAGCAATGAATGGCATCAACATAAACCATCTCGGTGAGTAGCAGCTACAGGCCTGGGTGAGAACATGGAGGTGATGACTCAGACCTGGCCTATCCCTCTGCTGGAGTCCTTCCCTCCCCTACAGTCTGGCGCATAATCGGTGCCTAAGAAATGTCAGAGACATCTGTGTTGTACTCAGGGTTTGTGACCAGTGTTCTAAAAGGCCCTGGTCACTGTTCAGACTGTTCTGAATGCCTCAAGTGTGTGTTCTGTGAGTGAAGTCTGACGGGACATTGGACATGTTTGGGGGCTTGGAACTTCGCTCACATGTGGTCCTGCCTCCCATCCCCTCAGAGTCTTCCAGGTGGGCTCTTGGCCTCCTGCTCTCCTGCCCTCTGGCTCCTTAGCCCCACCCACTTTCTTCTCCCTTCCCTGCCCATGGACAGTTGCCATACTCCCTCCAAGCAGGGGTCTGGGCTCGGGCAGGGTTGGGGTCAGGTGCTCATTCCTTACTGTGTCTCACATGAGGGCTGGCAGCACCTTGGCACATTCTGAGGGTGACTCAGAGGGAGCAAGCCTGTCACTCACCCTAACCAGGGACCTAGTGCATTTCAGTGTGGAGGTTGCACTTCTTGCCTACCCTGGATGGGGCAGCAGGCCTGTGGTGAGGGTAAATGCATGGTTCCACTCTCCAGCTCTAGCTCGTAGCACAGTGCATGGGTCCAGTGGCTGGCAGGAGGGAGACCTGGGCGTTGGTGGGCTTCCTGTGTGTCAAGCTAAGGAGTGGGGGCCCTGGGACCTTGGGGGTCTTCTCTCACCCCATGAGTGTCCCTGTGCATCAGAGAACACAGCATTAAGTTGCAAATAAACACCACCACGACCAGTCAAGGGAATCCTCAGGAAAAAGGAAAAACTTTATCATTTAGTACCTTTAGCAGCATTTTTTTTTTCCTGTTTGAACAGGGCCCCTGCATCACCTTTGTGCACCAGGCCTTGCTAATTATGTAGCTGGTTTAGGGTGTAGTAGAGAAAGCAGGATATTTGGATTTGGAAGAGTTTGTAAGTCCCTTTGCCTCTCAAAGTCTCAGTTTTCTTATCTGTAAATGGGCTTCCCCCCTAGGGCCATCCTCTCTCACACCCCTGCTTTTCCTTGGACTTGACATTCTGTGGACAAGGTCTTGTCAGCTGCTTGGAATGCCCTGCTCTTTCCTCTCCTGTCCAGGCTCAAATTGCCACTCTGCCACGGTCTTCCTGGGTCCTCAGTGACAACGAACCTCTCCCTCTTCTTCTCTCCTGGCCCTTCTTGTCACAATTAGCCTTGTGCCTCTCTTGACTCACTCTCCTCTGCATCCCCCTGCTTCCCCCACTTCCCCTGGCACGGTGCTTGGCAGAAAGAAGGTGTGTGTTTTTTGAATGTGTGTCTTAATTTCTAAGTGAGATCCTACTCTGTTGGGGAGTGGCAGTTGACTTTCCCTAGATGCTCCTAAGCTCCAAGGGTCTCAGCTGGTGCCCAGATGTGATGGTGGTAGGCTTCGGACCCTGACCTGTGTGTTGGACCCAGGGTCAGTCCTTGTTCCTGTCCACATATGTGCTGATCTTGCACCTGGGAAATGTCTGCAGCCACCTCATCATGCTCTAGGAGGGTACCCAGGCCTCTGCCCTCTCCTGGCTTCCTCTTGGGCACAGGCTCTGTCACGACCCCTGAGCCTAGGGAGAGCTGTGAGCTGGCACACCATTAACGGTTGATTCTCTCCATCGGGCTCCAACTGAGGTCATGATGAAGAACAAAGAAACAAGATCTTGAGCCAGTTGTTAGAGGCGAATAAGTAAATGAAGCAACGACAAGAGCCATTCTCACTTATTGAACACTTTCTATGTGCTTGGCTGTGTTCTCAGGGCTTTATGCCTATTCTTCACTTACTATTCACAATAGCCCTAGAACCAACTATCCCCATAGGGCCGATTAGAAGTCTGGGGCATGTAGAGATTACATAACTCGCCCAAGGGTCCACAGTTAGTCATTGATGGAGCTGGCATTTGAAACTGTAATGAGTACTACCCAACAGCTTTCGGTACCTGGAAGGTTCTTAGCATGGGATCCACACTGTCTTGTAGGAGTGAGACCCAGAGAGGGAGCGTGACATGCCTCAGGTCACACAACATGTCAGAGGGGCCTAGAACAGTATCTGGGCTTTCAGACTAGAATCGTACACTCTTTCCACTATTGACTCCTGCCTGCCTTTGAAAGAGCCCAGGGGCCCTGACCCTGAGGAGGAAGAGACAGATGGGCTAGGATTTGGGTGGCATGAGCCATGAAGCCAGGCAGAGGGCATGAAGAACCGGGGTGCAGGTTCTGACAGATGGCACCTGGAAAGGTGTCACCCAGGAGGCAGGCGTATGGTCAGGAAAAGCAACGCCTGCTAGACCCTGGATTGCTGACTGGGGAGATGGAGGCGTTCCTTCGACCAGAGCTGCCCTTGGGTTCTGTAGGGAGGCTTTGCCTGGAGAAGGGCTCCTGGGCTTCCTGGAGAGGTCTGGAGGTGGCTTCTCTTTGGTCTTGGAGTCCTTCTTCAGAGAACTAGAGTTGGGGGGAAAGCTGCAGACACTGTGGGGGAACTTGGTCTTGCTCGGGAAGCTTTGGTCATGGTGTGTGTGAGGTGCTTGGGAAGCATCCAAAGGAGATGTCGGGAGGTCGGGACAGTGGGATATGTGGATCAGGAGAGAGATGGACTGGAGAGAGAGATTGAGCGGGCAGTTATCACATGGACAACATGTTGCATAGTATTCAACGCTGACCTCAGAGGAGAGTGTCGATACGGGCAGCTCTAATTAGCAGCTGCTTTATAGGGGTGAGAGGAGAAGAGGAGCCCAGAGAAGATGGAGGTGAAAATGTCCAGGGGCTAGCAGGGGAGCCAGGTCGAACCTCCCCATCAACGGCATCCACATGGCACAGGCAGGGCCAGACAGGGCCTGAAGCAGTGGGAGATACCTCTGTCTACCTCCAGCTGTGGGATGGGGGTAGCTGGAGAGGAGAGGCAGAGGCAGCCACAAGGGGCCTCCTCAGGAAACACAGTGATGTGGCTCTGTCTGCTCATGTCTCTTTCCTTTTTCTGCAGTGGAAGGGACCACGCCATGCACGTCCAGCATCCTCCAGGAGAAGCAGCGTGAGTTGAGCCTGACCCCCATGGAGTCAGTTTTTCCCCTTGGATGGGTCCAAGTTTCTTGGGCCTGGGTTCCCTCTCATCTATCAGAGCACAGACGGGTGGCAGATCCTCACCATTCTGCCTGCAGGCTAGATCAGAGGGTGTGCAGTCACTCTGGCTGAGTTTGGCCGCTCTCTGCCTCATGACCTGAGCCCCTTGGGTTCCTGAGTTCCCCCATGCTGGGCAGCTTGGGTATCAGGGCCAGAGTGAGGGGTGGGAGGTGGTGGAGGGTGCCAGGAAGTGAACCTAGCAGAACAGATGGGACCATGGAAAGCCGTGTGTGTCTTTTTTTGTAGACAGAGAGGAGGACAGGAAGGGGTAGCAAGTCCCCCCCATGCCACTGTGCCCATCACCTTTGGGTGACACAACTTGCAGGAGCTGCTGATGGTGTCACGGTGACTGAGGTCTGAGGCACCTCGTTCAGGGCTGTGCCAAGGGTTACCATCCTTAAAATCCTATCACAAGGAAGCCATCTCTGCAGAGCCTGGGTTCCTGTGACTGAGTCCTGGGACCTCCCCAGTCCTCGTTACCCTTTGTGCCATACAGGCGCCTCCAGGTTTCCTTCTGCCTGTGTGTTCTCAGAGAGATGACTAGATCCAGGAGAGACCTGGTAAAGATGTGAGCGTTTGCTGACCAAGTGACCTCAGGATATTGTCCCTGGACATTCCGGGTGGACTCTGTGGACAGTGTCTGAGATAAATGTCTTTGCTATTGGCAGTATTGAGTTTTGCAGGAGGCTGGGGTCCAGAGAGGAGCTCGTGTGTGCTCAGAACTTTCCATCCTTCTCTCTTGCTATTTTGATTTGTGGCCACAGCTTTGAGGGGCTCTGTCTGCTCTGCCCACCACCTCCTCAGGCTGGGGCCTGAAGCCTTCCTGCAAGCTCTTCCATTTTTCAGTTGCTGTCTTGAGGTTGGGGAGTACCTGGGACACCAGCCTTCCTGCGGCCGGGGGTCGAGCCCTAAGTGAGTGGGTGCACAGCCTCCTCCTCCCCTGAGATGTTTGTGTTTCTAACATTCAGTGGCAGTTCATAGGCAAAACCCTTCAGGGGCTGGTAGGCGTGAAGATCTCTTTTGGGGACACCCTAAGGTTTAGGCTACAAGTACACCAGGCCAGTGGAAGGGCAGGGCAGGAGCTCAGCACAAGGGGGACTGTGTTCAAATGTCTGCGCAGGTTTTTAATGTGTTGATGTGGAGAGGCTAATGCCATTGGAAGAAGCATTTCTAGTAATTTTCAAAAGGGGCTTGCCATGCAGAGCCACAGGGGAAGCACCAGGTTTGGTCGGGAGGCATGTAGAGATTACATAACTCGCCCAAGGTCCAGAGCCCTTGGGGTTTCTGCAGGAAGGGCAGGGAAACAGCTTAGGATCAGCTGGTTTGAATGTCAGAAGGCCCTTGGCTACAGGGGTGTTCTCTCACTGCCTGCTACCTGACTCTTGGGTGATTTTGAGCAGGGGAGTTTTGGCCTAGTAGGTGAGAATTTGATAGAGGAGATGGTTGGGGTATGGATTTTGGACTGACTGGTTTGCATGTGAAAGGCATACTCCCAAGGGAGTTGTTTATTATCTCTAGGAATTAGCTAACTCAGGGAGGGGCATCTCTCCCTGGCCAGGAAGGCCCCCAAGATGTCAAAAACCTTGTAAAATAAAAAGGCAGTAATATTAATACAGGGATGTCACCACATTCCTCAGGAATTCAGGAGAGAAAAAAAGCCCAGATCATCCCTTCTGGGCCTCTAGGAAGAAGAAACCGTTGCAGCAGCCCCAAAGCAGGAAGCACAGCCCCCCAACATGGGCTTGTGTCCATGATGCCACCCTAGCTCTGTTGCCCACAGACACGATTGAGCTGATGAGATGTTTAGTGTCTTTTGGACCTGGATGAAAACAATGTGTGGTTAAGTAGAGGCAAAGTTTTATTTTTTTTTATGGTTATAGATTTTAGTAAGAATTCTATTGCTGAAAGCTGTCATCAAATTCTACTCCTAAGGATATTCTTATTTCGTGAAGAATAATAGTAGATGAACAGAGAAATTTTGGAGCTGTAATGGTACCTTGGAGGTCATCTAAGCTGGCGATTCCCAAGTATAAACCCAACGTTTTCAGCAGTGAGGAAAATAATAGCACTGTGATGTGTTTCTCCATAATGTTGAATGTATTAAATTGAGAGAACTGTTTTTCACATAATTCAACAATTATGTCCTGACTACAATTTTTGGCATTAAAATACTTTTCCTTTTATGAAATGATGGTGGTGATCGATGGTAATGTGTTTGTTTATTTTTAATTCAAAATTGGCAAAATAAAAGTCTGTGACCCAAATACAAAAAAGAGTAACAGCAATGCCTTGCATTTCTAACGGCACTTTTCCACTTAAAATATATACCCATGCAGATTATCTTATCTCACATTTCCACCAGGCTTTTGAAAACTCACTAAAAACAAGTTACTGAATGTCTCTGGGCCTCGGTTGACTCAGTTGTGGAACGACGGCTATGTTGTCTACTTCCTAGAGTTGCTGAGGGCGTCAGAGATAACATATGTGGTTGCCAGAATCCACACCTGGTGCACAGGAAGCGCCTGATGGTTCTCACTCGACTTTTGGATGAGTCTCGGTAGCTGGAACACCTGGTGCACACGTGTGGGATGAATCCTGTCACTTTGTGGAGCTTCATGTGCGGATGTGTCTTGTCATCTCTTGGAGCTCAGGCTTTTTGGCACCCTGCCGGTCACGTGGCTGCCTCAGTTGTCATTGTCACTGTGGTGTTTCCCCATGTGTTGGAGTCCCCAGAGATTCCTTCTGAGCTAGCTAGAGAGCACAGGGCCCCTCAGGTTATGAGTGTGGGGAAGGAGGCCTGGCTGGGCCTCTCTGCGAGTGTGTAGGTGTGAGGTTGCGAGGCCTTATCTGCAGTGGCCGTGGTGGAGGGAGGGGGGATACTGGAATCCTGCTGCCTCGTTGGCTGCCAGACAGCCCCAGCCTTCATACTGCAGTTGGACAGACAGCCTGGCAGTCTGCCACCACTGGCCTGTGCTTGTCATTTGAAACCAGACTAGAGGAAGCCCAGGGAGCCATTGTGCATGGGGGCTGGGTGGGGACAGAAGAGAGGGTTTGAGGCTGGGGGCAGAGGGGAGAGAGGGCCTTGGACTGGGCAGGAGACCTGGGATGCCTCCCACCGACTTGCTGTGCAGTCTCAGCTCCTGTCTGGAGCCTAGGCTTCTCTCCGTCTCTACGTGGAGTCCCTCCTGGATCTGACATTCAAATGGTCCCTGATTTTCTGTTTCTGTCTCTCTGTCTCCTGGCTCCCTTTGTCTGCATCTCTTTCTGTTTCTGCCTTGTTCGTGCTGCTCTGTTAATACAGCGACCATTTCCAGAGTGCTTCCAGAATGCCTGCTATGGTGCCAGGTGTGAGGACTCAGGGACCTTATATTTCCCCATCAAACCTCACTCCTTCTGCTCTTCCATCCAGTGTGAATGGCACCATTCTCCACACATCCAAGCCAGAAACCTTCTAGACTTCTCCCTCTTTGAGGCCATCAAGAGTCAAATCAGCCGTTCCTAGCATCATTCCACCTGCAGCAGGGGTTTCAGACTTCCCCACTCCTCTCTGCCCCCGTTCCTTCTCTCTTTAGTCTGTTGCATCCTCCCATGTACTGACCTCCTAGCTGCCAACCATGCCCACTCCAGTCCTCCCTTTAGAGTGTCAGAGAGACCTCTGCAGGAGGTAACCCTGGTCCTCATGGCTCCTGCTTCCCCTCCCATGGCTCTTCTTCAACTGAGGGTGAACCTGGCACGACCTACCTTCCCACTCCTTCCTGCTCCCTCTCCCTTGCCTTCCACATGGACTCTCTAAGCATAGCTTTCTCATGGGTTAATAGGTAAGCCTAACCCCATGAAGAGGACTGAGGTAGCCTCCTTTGCACCAGACGGTGGGAAGGACGTGGGTTCTCAGGACTCAGCCCCCTTGGCCTCTGCCCTCACCACCCCATTCATTGCCGTCTGGATTGCATGTGCTGAATCCGGCAAGCAGGACCCACCTTTTTGGTTGTGATCTGCCATTGCCATAGAAGAGGCTGAGGGTAAAGCTGTTAGCTCCGAGGGGCAGGAACTCCCGTTCCTGCCCACATCCCCATCCAGGTTTGTCTAGTGGGAGGAGGATATTCTCCCAGGAAACTCTCTCCAGTATTCCCCTTCCAGTCTCAGCAGCTCCGCAGGGTACCAGGCTGCCAAGTGCACAGGACAGGAGATGTGAGTTGGAGATAGGGCTTCCTCTACTGCACCCCCATGCAGGAGGGGGCAGATGCCATGACAGGAAGACATGCCTATGGTGGCCCTCAGAGTTGGACCAGTCCACAACCTGACACATGTGACTCAAACCCACAGGAAAGCCGTTCCAAATGGCTTTCCCAGGGCCAGTACCTGGCATCAGCTGTGGAGATGGAGCAGCAGGTGGCTGTCCCAGGTGTGGGGAGGCTCTGCCCATGTCCATATCTACTTATTAGAGTGGGTACTCAGTGGGACTCTGAACTTCTTCTCATCCCTAGACCAAGACCAGATACAGCCTCCATCCTGGACCCCGACTGACCCTTTATCTTTATCCTCTATCAGCCTCTGGCCTAGTCATTAACAAAGCCCTTGTCTATCCCAGGTTAGGTCCTGACTCCAGCTCCTGGTTCTGGACCTAGCCTGGATCCTTGGCTTAGATACAGAGAAGATGTGGAGAGTTTGGCATCACCTCTCCCCATCATGGTTTGACCTCATGCCAGCCCAGGGTCAGTGACCAGAGGAGCAGCTCTGAATGCCCAGAGCGGCCACCAAGGGGTCTCCCTTTCTGCACATCCTCAGCCCTTGCTTCTCCAGGAGGACCCCCACACATGATGTGTGAAGCCCCTTGCCCATGACTGGCCTCCCCACTCCTCTGCCTGGTAACTGGTGTCTTTTCCTGGCCTGTGTGGGCAGCTTGCTGAGCAC